AATTTGCATAACAAAAGCCAAATTATATTGATAACATTCTATCCTTCTGTAAGCCTCTACATTTGAAAAACATTAAGTGTTTCCTTCAAAACTGTATGCTCTCAAAATTAGTACAGTCTTGCAAAAAGAACAAGAAACTGAAATTCTACATATTCTGAAGCAAATGTAAGCTAAATTGCCTAATGTTTGCATTTTTATCGCACGTTGAAGACCAACAATTGCACATCACACCCATAAACACACTGGGCACTTCCCTACTGCTCAGCCACTCATTGTATGGTTGCTGAAAACGGGACTATGATGCAGTTTTCTCCTTCCCTTTAAAGTAAACCATTCTTAACAACAACTGGATTATAAAGAAATGTATACTATGCAAACTGGATACCATACATCAAACACAAAAAGCATATGGAATTCCTATGAATATACTGAAGTAATGTGGACAATTTGGGAGTAAATTTGTCCTGGGGATTCTTCAGGCTTGTGAATTCCATTGCCTAAGCATTATGGAATGATGGCTACAGAAAACATCAGATAGTGCCTTGACTTTTTAGATCACCAAGAATTGACAAATAGCCTGGAAAGGATCCTGAAGCACATGGAATACTTAACAGAGAGAGTTGTATTTTAGTGTTTTAAACATATTTGACATAGTTTCTGACTTAACTAAAGCTTCTCCTCTTCATGTCATGTTACCCCAAACAATCACAATCTAGCCGCTCATATTATCAGCAGTAAGTAATTAAAACAGAATGAACTTATGAAGTGAATTTCATTTGTTATATAGTAAATTCAACCTTATAATATGATTCTTCTATCTTACAGTAAGTATTTAAAATCCCAAACCAAAAGTAAAAGTTTATATAGTTCAACTATCTATAAATCCACAAAGGATCTTTCAGAAATAGATGGAAGAAGTTAGCATTTTCTTAAGTTCTAAACTTTTATAAGTAAAATACAATCAGCTAACACCCTTAATATCTGTCAGGAGCTTCCTACTTTCTCACCATAAAAATACCAACCATATATAATAAAATATTACTATAGAATGTGCAGAAGCTTACTTGCTTGGATTTCTTTCCAAGATCATAATGGATAAACAAGAGTAATCGAAAAGGCACCTATTTTTGTATATCCCTATATTTTAATTTTGGTATAAATTATATCCACTTTATATAGGGGTATGGTGGTAAAAAAAAAAAAAAAAAAAAACACCCATTTTCTTTGTCTTTTCATTAAAAACATTCCATTGGAGATGGATGAACCTGAAAATGAGTTGCATCTCTTGACATTCTGCTATTTTGTTTAGAAAAGCCTTCTTCCCAATTCCCAGAATGTTGTGAAGCTCAACACAGAGAAGATAAGGAAGCAAAAACTGTGGTAAAACTGTTAAAATTTGGTTTTCATCATCTACTAGCAGTCTTTCAATAAAATTAATGGCAAGATGGGGGCAGGCCTAATCTCATTTGTGTTCATACAGTGTACACATACAAACTGTGCTTACAAATTTCTGTGTGACCTATGGAGGTTGGGAAGACCTGAGAAGAAGCAGGACTCCATGAAGAACAGACAACCAGATAAATATTTCAAACTTGGCTCTTCTGCAGATGTGTACATAAGAACAAACAGACATGAAGAATTCCTTTTGCCATAGGTCAGAAATAGAAAGCTTTCCTGGAGAACAAGAAATAGCCAAAGCGTTGACTAGAAACTTACAACAAACGCAATATTCTGTTGCTATACTTTTCTCAAAAGAAATAAGATCCACATACAGTTTTGTTTTCAGAACCTTTCAAAATGTATCAAACGGTTCCTTGTGCTTTTATCAGGCTTGAAAACACACCAAATTTAGAAAAGCAGCTAAATGCTCTCTGTGTTTAGGCATTTACACTGGCTTCTTGAACTCAGTTTTCAAGACTGGTTTTTAATACTGGTTTTCCTTAGCGTCAGCATTACATATGTATAAGATATCAGAACCAAAACCCACTGCCATAAGTCTATTCCTTCTCATCACAACCCTGTATAGGGTTTCTGAGGCTGTAAATATCTGTGGAAGCAGAAAGCCTTATCTTTTCTCATGGAGTGGCTGGTGGGTCTGAACTGCCGATCTTGCAGTTAGCAGTCCAGTACTTATCCTACAGAAGCACTACCATATCTGTTGCCAAATTACAGGTGGGGAGGGATCATGTGGAAAGTGGAAAAAGTTGTTCAAAAATGTAATTTAAAAAAATGATGCTGTAAAAATAGCACTTTGGTAATATACATATATGTTTCCTACATTTCTTTTTTGTTTGTTAGTTTCCTATATTTCTTTTGAGATGCATAATATCCTGACAAGCTTTAGTAACAATGCCAATACTATTAAGTTATAACCTCAAGAGCATATGATGTTTTACTCTGCCTCAACCTTTATTTACAAAATTGTCCTTTAATTAAATTCTGATAAGATTTTAATTCCTAAAGTAAGAAACATCTTGCTTTGCAAACATTATGTGAAGTTTAAAATTTTAAGAGAATTATTCCCTAAATATGTTTTGTTTGTAGCATTCAATGAATCCGATTTTGAAGACAGGGGATGAGAAGAAATAGGAAACATTTGGCTGCTACTTTGTGTTAACTTTCCTGTTTATAATCTATTTCCTTTGAGTATCTGATAAAGGTTCTATTTATCAAAAATTGTACCTGTCTTACATTTAGTCTGAAAATGTTATCAACAACTACTCTATGTAATAATTGTGAAAAAAATGAGAGAAATATAAATATGTACTTAACAATATAATAAATTAAACAGGCTTCTCACCTTCAATTTTAATAAAGAAATTTTTGCAAGAATATTGCAGGTTCAATTTGTCATTTTAGGTCTGTGTACAAGATATGGGATTTGACTGATTTACTCATGATGGGTCATTTCAATGATAGACAGTCAGTCGAGCAGGTTATCAGTAATCATTTAAATCCCCTTAGTATAATCTCTAGTTGCTAAAATTTTTTTTATATAAAAATTATGTCACTGTCACGTAGATACAGCCTGAGTGTAATAAAGTTTTTTGCTCTTTTAATCTAATGAAATGAAATCACAATTTTTCAAAATTATGTCCTAACTTTCCAAAAGTACAGATAATGCAACTTTTCCCTTTGGCCTAATAAACATTTCAATGAGAGATATTTTATAGGATGTTTTGTTCATTTCCTTGACTATATCACATAAGGCAGCTATCCTGAAGGCCCAATCATTTTATTATATTTTTGTAACTGTTTTTTTCCTGTTTCATTAAACTACAGCATCAGGTCCCATTTCAACATTACCCTATGTTGTTGTTGTTGTTGTGAAGTGCTATCAAGTCAATTCTGACCCATAGCGACCCGTATAGGGTTTTGAGGAGCGGCTGGTAAGCTTGAACTGCTGACCTTGCAGTTCAAATGACCTTTGCAGTCTAGCACATTAACTCACAATGCCACACCAGGACTCCTATACTACAGGTATCAATAAACACTACAGTCTTAAAGACAGAGAGAAACTGACAAATGTCAGTCTCTCAGGTAACCTTGACTTCTGGTTCCAGGTGAAAGTTAAAGACCTGCCCTCAGGACTATGAATCCAGCAAGAGCCTGCAAGGTCCTTTATTTGAAAATCCAAACTTGACAACAATGTCTTTTCTAACTGTTAGAAAGACCAATAGGGAAAATTCTGATGACATTCCTATCTCATTGCCTGAATCTGACTCAAAATAAAAACCAGAAAGTGGAATGGACGTCTTTTAATTAACCAGTTTCACTGGCTAGATTTCCATTCCAAAATCTGAATGCCATTTCCCAAAATAAAAAATCAGATTATCTTTCTCTATGTAGTGTTTATAACTTTGGCTTTGCTGGGTTTTCCCAGAATACTTCATATTCCACCTCCACTCCCCTCACTGGCTTCTGTAAAGTTTTATTTACTTTTAAATAAACAACAGCATTAAGTTAATGAAAGTTGTCTAATAAACACCTAAATCACTTATTTAGTGGAGTCTACATCTATTTCATAAGGTGTAAATCCTTCAAAACTAGAGTGTAATGCACAGGAGAATCTCAAGCAACTTTTCAAAATATGTTTGTGTTTTTGTTTTCTGATGAGCTGGCAACTAGAGGAAAGTGCTTTTAGATATCAACTATACTTTTTTTTGGCTTTAGTAACAGGAATGGGTAGTGCAGCTGCCTATGTTACAAAAGCTTGAATCAACATGGCATGCAACAGGCTGTTAGGGAAATTATATAGATGACATTAAAATTTGCCCTTTGCAGAGTAGCTGTGAGGTTATTTGGTCCTCACATTCTGTGGGCTCAAGCATATATTTGGGTCCATAGAATGTAAATGGGGAGTGGGATATGACTTGGTACAAATGAGAAATAAATAGACCCATGCGGACCTATGGAACAAGAAAATTTCTTTGTTAAGCAGGAGTTTCTAGGTCCCTATGGCCATCAATCAATATAATTTTAACTGGACATTAATTCTGCCACTGCTTACATTTATCTTATTAGGCAATTTTCATTTTTTGCTTAACAACCAAATAACTAAAAGAATTTTTGTTTGTTTGCTTTGATTTTAAGTATTGGCTGCATTACTAAATTAAGGGAATTGGTTTCCGGTAATTCCAAAGTGACAGCTAAGACATTTCATATACTTGTTACATTTAAAGGACAATCAACATTGCTATTAAAGTCTACAAAAATACATTTCCCACAAGAGTTCAATAGCCAATCAAAGGAAACCATTAACACAATTAGCAGCACCAGGTCTCCAGATGAAATTATTGTGTTTATAGGAATTACTGAAAATGCTGCCGTTTTCAGCACAGAGCTCATTCATTCTTCCTGGTACCTGTGTGTCTAATTGTCAAAAGAAGGGCAGATCATTGTAAAATAACTACCAAATTGTTTTAAAAGTATCTTCTATCTTTTAAAAAGAGTAGGTTTGGAATACATTAGAACAAAGCTCAAAGGACAAGGAGAAATAATTAATTAACAAACTCAATGTAATTCGCTGGGAGCATCCCCGTTTTCCCAGTTCTCTGCACTGTGCCATACATCCAGCCATCATCTATGGGCTGCACGTTGACAATGTAGTCACCATCCCTGAACGAGACTTCATCTTCATCCTGGGCACTGTAATCGTACATGGCTCGATATGTCCTCTGAGAGAAAAAAGAAGGGGTCATACAGTTAATACCAAACTGTTTAACCAGTTGCCATTGAATTGACTTCATCTCATGGCAATCTCATGTGTGTCCGATTAGAACTGTGTTCCATAAGCTTTTCAATGGTTGATTTTTTATTAGTAGATCCCCAGGTTTCTTCTGCGATGCCTCTGGATAGACTAGGACCACCAACCATTTGGTTATCAGCCAAGCATATGAATTGTTTGCACCACCCAGCCACTCCACCAAATGGATTATAACTACAAATTCCAATGACAATAAAGCAACCCACTAGTAAAGTAACTATGAAGAATGTTTTCAAGCACATTTATTTCTGGAGATCTGTAAACCAAGTGCCTAGTATCAACCTGTGTTGATCTTAAGTTTACCAATTAAGCAAAAAATTTTAACATTGTTAGAGACTAAAGCCTTGGGGCTTTGCAAACCCTGACCAAAAGCCTGGGAACCTTGGATCCTTGCAAACCATGACAAAAAATCCTGGAAATGTTGACATTTAGAAAAAAACAAAACAGGGTGTCTGACTTCCTGATAAGCCGGTGATATAACCACAAATTCCCTCCTGCCCTAAAATCAGGATAAACAAGTTTCTGGAACATGTGCACAAGAAAAAGAAGACAACCTTAAAATAACCCTAGATGGTTACCATAGACCATAAGCAGAACTGAACCAAAAATATTGATATCTACATGTGTCACCATCCCATAATGAGTAAAAACAATTCTCCCCAGAGACCCTTGTGGCAGATTTCATTTTGAAAATGAAGCTTCCATATTGAAGATGAAATGCTCCGTGGGAGAAGGGACAGGGGCAGTGGCAGCTCTCAGGCCACCACGGGTATCTCCACCCTGGGACCACTCCAAATTAACCCTCTATAACCCTCTAGCTTGGTACACATGGAGAGACACTGCCAATATAGCACGCCTCCCCTTGCAACATATTCTTTAGTAAATCTTTCTTTCTTTCTGAGTGACAACTTGCTTTTATAGTCATTAACTGGCCCTACTCTGGTAACAATAAGGAGCTCTGGTAGCGTAGTGGTTACGAATCGGGCTGCGAACCTTAAGGTCAGTGGTTCAAAACTACCAGCTGCACCGCAGGAGAAAGATGAGGCTTTCTACTCCCGTAAAGATTTACACCCTTGGAATCCCTATACAGGGTCGCTATGGGTCGGAACCAACTCGATGGTACATAACAACAACAACAACTCTGGTAACAATATTTTAGAGCCAGAACAGGCATACAGAAATCCAACTAATTACAATTACTGGAGGTTGGTGGTCTTGTGCCACTGAGTCAGTTCCAACTCAGCGATTTCCAAGGCTGTAAAGTGCAGGGTCACTATGAGTCAGAACCAACTTCATGGTACTTAACAACAACACAAATCTTTATAGGAGCAGAAAGCTTCATCTTTCTCCTGTGGAACTACTGGTAGATTGGAACTACTGACCTTGAGGTTAGCAGCCCAACTTGTAATCACTCCACAAACCGGGCTCCAGGACTCCTTAATTACAATGACTAGACTGTCTGAGTCCTGGTGTGGCAGTGTGGGTAAAGGCGGTGGACTGCAAGGTCAGTTTGAACCTCAAGGTCAGTAGTTCAAGGTCATCAGCCGCTCCTCAGAAACACTATACATGGCTGTTATGAGTGGAAACTAACTTGACAGCAATTACAACAACAGGATTTCAAAAGGTGAGTGTTAAAAGAGTGAAGCCAATTCTATTCAGCTTTAGATAATTCCAGAAACATTAGATTATATAGAATCTTTCCTATTCTATAGTGTTTAGAAAATAAAGCCCACTGGAGTGTAAAAAGGTCCAAGTTCTGCTGGCTGTCTGCCACTAGCAGAGACAATTAACTTCTAAAATAAGTATCAAGAATTTTTATTTCCTTATAAAAACATGAAAAAGAAATGAAAGAGGAAGCGTATGAAATATACTTATTTCATAGGCTTTTGTAGCAGAATGATATAAATTTAGCAAAGAAATGTTCTGATTATTGAGAGACACATTAAAATGAGCATTTTTTAAAATTGAGTTTCAGCTTATTTGTCTTACTTTAGGCCAAGAGTTTGCCTAATTTTAACATCTGACAATCCCCAAATCAAGTGCACTCACAGACAAAGGAAACTAACTGAGACACACAGGACTTTAGAGCAATTAAATTTACCTTAGAAACTGCCTCCCGGAGTTACTTGTGTTTACTTAAAAAGCCAAGTGACTGTCAGGAAGCTTGTAGAAGTAATTTCAGTGTGAGATGTCTGGTTTGACTGTATGACCTTCAACGTTGATCCCAAACTTCGAATTCAATCAATCAGTATTTTCAGATTTTCAGTGAGGGGATTTGAACGCAGAAAAATACATGTTTTTCTGTCTTTCAAGTTAGCAGCCCATTTTGATTAATGTCAACATTATGTAGTTAATCTGACCACCAAAGATTTTTACTCATTCGGACTACGTGAAGATCCTAATTGGCTACTACCAATCATGAAATAACAGAATGTCCAAAACATTCTTTGTATTTTTTTTTTTCTAATGCTTTCACATATTTACTAATACCTTCCTTTTCTTTCTCAATAATTGATCTCTTCAAACTTCCTATATATTTTGTTGTTTTGTTTTTCCTTCAAAAGAGTTATATGAATGACAACACATCTCTATATGGAAATATACAATATTCAGCTTGACTTTATTCCATGTACAGACTTTTTTAGGGTTTATTTTTTGGAAGGATTTTTTAGCTGAAGAAGACCAGTTAAGGAAGGTTTCAGATGGATACTTACTAGGTTTGGTGAATGCTGCATTGACCTCATGGATGACACACTGGTCTGGTGCATGTACCCATAGCCTTGGGAATGGCTTTGTTGGTAGGCTCCAGGAAGAACAGGGGCTGTGCATTAAACATAAACACACACACAAAGACTCCTTAAAGTGAGACTCAAAATACTCCTTCCCCACACCCTCAACTTTTCTCCTGCTCTGCGAGATGCTCTAAAACAAAACGTCATTGTCAGTGTCATGTGCAATTTGGGTAGCCCTTAGGTTAGTATAGCAGTCCTGGTGCAGCACTGTAGGATAAGCATTGGACTGCTAATGACAAAGTCCACAGTTCAAACCTACCAGTCACTCCTTGGAAACCCTATACAGGGTTACTATGAGTTGGAACTGACTCAACGATGCACAACAAAAATAACAGGTCAGTGTAGAAGTTAAGAACATATATAGAGAATCACTTTAGCATGCCATTAAAAATAAGTTTTTAATGTTTTTATTACTCTAGTACAGACACATTGTTAACATCACCTAGACAAAAATTTTCTGTAACATTAAAGAAATCAAGTTTTCATTTTAAAATAAAATAAAAAATGTAAAGGGAGATAATTGGATTGCCAAATCAATGACAGACTATGAACACTTGCAAAGGGAATGTCTCATTTACTGGAGTACTATTCATATTTGAGACATAGAGCCGAATGCTCCTTTTACAAGGATGGCATATACAACATATGCTTAGCAAAAGATATCTGTTTAGAAGTTTATAAAATGTCTATACCCTTAAGAAAAACATTTATTTAAAACACCTGAATTCTCTATTTTATTTTTACTATAAATCAAACCTAAGTGAACTGAACATGACAATGTCTGAGAAATCAAAGCACTTAAAGAACGTCATAAATATTATCCATTTGCATTAAAAAAAGAATCGTATTCACTAAGCTTGTACTGTTTTGACCAGCGATTATGACATTTGAAAGACAATGTTACTCTTTGTGAAAAACACTAAGTTCTAGAGAAACCAACACAGAAGGTCGATAGAAATACTCTAAAATCAGTAGAAATATGTTTGTGGGTGCTGTGTGAGTAGCTATGTCTAAGTCGTTATAACCAGAGGTGTGAGCTAATAATGAAGGTATTTATTGTAGTAGCATGTCCTTCATTATGCTTTGGAAAAGTATATGTTACTATTCTTTGCATGATATATATGCTATAAAAATCCTTAATAGGTTTCCATTTTTGTTTAACCAGATTGTATGTTGCTGTTGGTGTTAGGTGCTGTCCAGTAGGTTCCAATTTATAGCAACTCTACGCATAATAGAATAAACCACTGCCAGGTCCTGCACCAGCCTCACAATCATGGGTATGCTATAAGCCCATTGCTGCTACAACGGTGCCAATCCCTCCTGTTGGGCATCTTCCTCTTTTTCATTGACTCTCTACTTCACCAAGCATGATGTCTTTCTTCCAGCACTGGTCCCTCCTGATCATATGTTCAAAGTTTACATAATCCAAATATATATGTCTAGGGAGTCCTGGTGTGGCGCTGTGGGTTAATGCGCTAGACTGCAAAGTTGTTTGAACTGCAAGGTCGACAGTTTGAGCTCACCAGCCACTCCTCAGAAATCCTATATAGGGTTCACTATGGGTCGGAACTGACTTAACAGCATTTAACGACAACATTCCTAGAGAGCATTCTGGCTGTACTTCTTCAAACAGATTTAGTTTTTTTGTGGCAGTCCATAGTACTTTCAATGGAATCCTTGTGTGGCACTGTGGGTTAATGCACCAGACTGCAAAGCCATTTGAACTGAAAGGTTGGCAGTTCAAGCTCACCAGCTGCTCCTCGGAAACCCTATACAGGGTCGCTATGGGTCGGAACCGACTCGATGGCACTTAACAACAACAACAATAGTACTTTCAGCGTTGTTCTCCAACACCATAACTCAAATCCATCAATTCCACAGTCTTCATTGTCCAACTTTCACATGCATATAAAGCAATTGAAAATGCCATGGATTGAGTATCTTAGTACTCAAACTGGTACCTTTGCACTTGAGCACTTTAAAGAGGTCTTGTGTAGCAGATTTGCTTAATGCACCTATGTTGTTTGATTTCTTGACTGCTGCTTCCATGAGTATTTATTGTGGATCCAAGCAAATTAAATATTTGACAACTTCAATCATTTCTCTATTTATCATGATGTTATTTATTGGTTCAGTAGTGAAGATTTTTGTTTTCTTTGCATTGAGGTGCAATCCATACTGAAGGCTGTGATCTCTGATCATCAGTAAATATTTAAGTGCTTTTTACTTTCAGCAAGCAAGGTTATATCATATGCATATCTCAGTCTGAAATGAGTCTTCCTCCAGTCCTGATGTCATTTTCTTCATATGGTCCATTTTCTCAGATTATTTGCTCAGCATACAGATTGAATAGGTAAGGTGAAAGTATACAACCCTGGCACACAACTTCCTAATTTTAAACCATTCAGTATCCTCTG